CAGTTACAGAGTCATCTTGTGTTTCACCGGAAGCACTCCCTGTCTGAAAACAGCTGTCATTCTGGGCTGATCCAGTCGGCGTTGGTGCGGTCTCCTGCCACTCAGAGGGCGGGCTCGCAGCCCTGTCCAATCAGGAAGAGCACTGGGCCGGGGTTTGCAGCCGCCATCTTGGGCTCCTTCTGTAGGAGCCCCTGACGCTCCGCGCGGTTGGACGCTCGGTGGAGGCTGGTGCTGGTGACCATTGGGACGCCGATGCTCAGGCCGAGACGTGGTGAGTTGTGGGTGGCGATTGAGGGCGGGGAGCGGCCCCGTCGGCTGCGGAGCGGCGGGACCCGGTGTCCTTCGCTCCCACACCTCAGCTCCTCGAGCCTCCCCGCCGGCCCTCTTGCTCCGGGACCCGCTGCGGAACTGGGGGGATCGGGGTCCGGCCTCTCGGGGCGTCTCTGGGCGGGTCCGCGCCGGCCTCCAGGTTGTGTGATGAGGGCTTGGTCTCAGACGGGTTCTTCACGAGAGAAGCTGTGCTCCTTTGAACACTTAGTCCTTTCTCGGAGTCTGTTGGTTTCCCCTAATTTTCCCAATTGTCTGCACTTCAGAGTCTCATCTAGAACCCTTTGCAGGCCAGCTCCTCGTAGGTATGTAAGTTCTGCAGAATTCTAAGTGTCATCCATGTTCTCAGACTCCACCTTCCAGTTGCCACTGTATTAACTGTTCCTCGTTCTGCATTTCAAACATGGAATATTTTGTCCTTTTTTAAAAACAATTCGGGGTAGGAGAGATGGCTCAGCAGTTAGGAGCTCCGGTTGCTCTCGCAGAGGACCTGGTTCAGTTTCCAGTACCCACATGGCAGCAAATAACCATCTCCATTCGTAACTCCTGTTCTAGGGGATCTTACACCCTCTGCTTGCCTCTGCAGTCATCACACAACACAGCTGCACATGTGAACATGCAGGTAAAACACTCATACACATTAAAAAATAAATAAGAAATAAAAATTGTGCATGATTTTTCTGAGTACAAGAGAATAATATTATTCCAGTATTTTATTTTTCTGTTTATGAATATTTCACTAAAAGGAAAGAGAACAACCCCTGACTCCTTAAGCTTAAGCTTTGATCCTGATCCTTCCTCATCCTGTCTCTAGACACAACCACCTCATCAGAATGCCATAATTTGAGCTTACCCTTTGCAAACTTCAGTGGGTGATATATCCTCATTCCACCTTTGATCTTTCTGAAATCAGGGCTTTCAAAACTGCCTGACACTAGGTGCATCTGTCTCTTGTTTTTTGAATGTCTAGTGACTATCAGCCACTCCATCTTTTCCTAGGCTGTGCAGCCTGAGGTGTGAGGAGCCTCTGGAGAGCAGCTGAATGTCCTGATGCTGGAATGCCTTGGTATACCTCATTTTATTTTTTATTACATTTGTTTATTGTGTGTATATGTGTTGGGTGCATGCATGTGTGGCATGTATGTAGACATCAAAGGGCAGCTTATAGTTGTCAATTTTTCTGTATCATGTGAGACCCAGGAATCAAACTCAGGTTACTAGGCTCGAGGGCAAACACCTTTACTCCTGAGTTCTCTTGCTGGCTGTTAACACTTCATTTATTTCCATATCTGAGTTGTGAGTGTAAATAGTGCTACCCTTTTTCCCTTCTGGGTTTTTGTTGTTTTGAGATAGGGTCTCACCATAAAGCCCTGGACTTGCTTGAAATCCTATATAGGCCTGCCTTTGCCTCCCTAGCACTGGGACTAAAGGCTTGCATCGCTATTCTCAGGGGATCTGTGATTTTTAACTCTTCTCTGGTTTAATGCTAGTCAGAGGAATTGCCTGTATGCCAATTTAGTACCATTTTTTTTTGTCTGTGATCCATTGACAGTTGCATGAGCCCAGTCTCCTCTGATTCTAGAGCTTGGAAGTTTAGAGTATATTCCCCTAAATGGAATTCACTGAAGCTGAGATATTCAGTTTATAAACAAATTCATTCCAAGAAGAACTAGTAGATCTGGACTTGAAGATAGAGAGAGCTAAGGGAGACAACTTAGGGAGTGCTGAGCTCCCCTCCAGGCTGCTAGAGGTCTACTGTTGTTTTGTTTTCCTTAGTATTTCTGGTTATTTTTCATGTATTTAGATTTATGATCCACTTATCTGTTGCTCTTCACAGTGCAAAAAACCGATACCCATTTGTACTTTCCTATGGATTTTGTTTCTGTTCTGATGTGCTGGACTTTTTTCTGCAGTATTACATTCACATAATTTTTGTGTCAAATAATGATAGGTATTACTGCTCTTATATGCTAATTGCATATTTATCCATTGTACAAATATGCACATACATACATATATAAACACAACTTTATATAAACTTAAAGCTTCTAGAATTTCTGCACTTTTTTTCCTTTTATTATAAAGTATGTGTATTCTGGCCTCCTTGGGCACCAGGCATGCCTGTGGTACACTTATATACATGCAGGCAGAACCACTGATACACATAACAGTTTTTTAAAGAAAACCAATACACATAGAAGGTTGAAGACATGGCTCAACACTGAAGAACACTTATGATCTTCCAGAGGACCCAAGTTTAGTTCCCAGCACCTACATCAGGAGGCTTATACCCATCTGTAACTGCATCTCCAAGGGATCCAAAACCCTCTTATGGTCTCCAGGCACCCACCCCCACACACACACTCTCACACACAACAACATACACATAAATTATAAAAATCTTTGTAAAAATTAGCATATTGAAACTCTGGGATATTATCAATTAATTATAGGAATATAGTCATCTATGTAATGCATTTTCTATACATGCATGGTAAGTGTAACACTGTCTTTATATGTGCCTCTTTTTGAGACCAGGATATTATGTAACCAGTTTGGTCTCCAACTCACTATGTAATGGGGAATAACCTTGGCTGTTTTTTGTTTTTTTTTTTAGATTTCTAATTATGTGTATGTGTATATGTCTGTGTATGGATATGAGCAAGTGAGTACAGGTGACCTTGGAGGTTAGATGTGTCAGATTCCCTGGAGCTGGAGTTACAGGTGGTTGTGAGATGCCTGGTGTAGATGAGCAGTTACACCTTAACTCCAACCCCAACCTTGAACTTCTGATGCTTTTGCTTACAACCTTCCTAGTGGTAGGATGATAGGGATGTGCTGCCACCCCTTGTTAGAAGAAATCCCTTTAAGTTTTTTCCCATATGGTACAATGTGGATGATAGGTTCGTGGTATAATACTTTATTATGCTAGATGTGTTCCTTCTATTCCTAATTTCTTCAGGGGTTTTATCATGAAGGGTTGTTGAGTTATGTCAAAGGCATTTTCTGCATTGACTGAGGTGATCCTGTGGTTTCTGCTCTTAGGTCTATTTATTTGCTGAATTACACTTAACTGATTTGGGAATGTTGAACAACCTTGAATTCCAGGAATGAAACTATCTTGATTGTGGTACTAGACCAGTGTTGCTGGTCTTACAGTTAAGCCACCTATAAATCAGAGGACAAGTTTGTATAAGTTTGTTATGATTTCTTTTAGCAGCAAGAAACCAGGTTTTTGTTTGTTTGTTTGTTTGTTTGTTTCTGGCTATGCAAATGAAGCATGTAACCTTCTGTATTAATTACTTTTCCGTTGCTGTGATAAAACACTGTGACCAAGGGAACTTATAAAAGGAAGAATTTATTTGAGCTTATGGTTCCAGAGGGTTAGAGTCCATAATGGAGGGGAAGGCATAGTGGCAGAGGTAGCCAGAGCTTTTAGAAAGCCAAGGGATCCCATCTTCAAGCAGGCACAGGAATCAAAGAGCAACTGGAAAATCTGGCAAGCTTAAGAACTCTTAAAGCCTGCCCCCAGTGACGTTCTTCCTTCAGCATGGACACACCTTCTAAGACCTCCCAAAACAGCACCACCAACTGGGGACAAAATGTTGAAATGCTTGGAGCCTATACAGGACATTCTCATTCAAACAACTATAGTTCCACTCCCTGGCCCCCATAGGCTCATGACCATATAATATGCAAAATGTGTTTAGTTCACCTTTTTGAAGTCCCAGTAGTCTTTACCAGTCTCAATACTATTCAGAAGTACAGAGTCCAAAGTCTCTTCTGAGACTCAATGAAATCTCTTTACTTCTAACGTATAATGGAACCAAATACACATTCCCATTCCAAAAGAGAGAAATGGGGGCATACTGAAGAAATACTAGACCATAACAAGACCAAAAACTAGCAGAGCAGATACCAAATCTAGTAGCTCCATGTCTGATTTCTGGACTTTACTTCCAAAGAGCTTAGAGAGCTCGGCCCCTTCAAATTTGCTACATGCAATCTCTCTCCATATATAGATGATAGATGATAGATAGATAACCTCTATATAATCTTTCTCTTTCTCTCTCTCTCTCTCTATATATATATATGTGTGTGTGTGTGTGTGTGTGTGTGTGTGTGTGTATGTGTGTATACATAATCTCTTGGACTGGTACAGCTGTATGCAGCTCTCCTTAGCAGATGTCTCATGGTTCTGAACATCTTGTGGCGTCCATTGCCAACCAACCAGGATTCATCTTCACAGCCTCATGCAATGGCCTGTCAGGGCCTCTTGGCCTGTTAGGGCCAAAGCAGGGATACCTCTGCTGGATGCTGCCTGGCCTCTGTGGCTTTCTGAAACTGGGGAAAGAATTGATGACCTCTTTACTCTTCATCTATCATGCCTCTAAAGCCAGCACCATGTGACACTGCTAAGTTGGGCTGCCAGTTTGGGGTGAGGCCTGGCCAGCTTCATTCATATTATGAGCAGCTTTTGTGGATTGCAGTTTTCTAGGAGAAAACTCAGACTTTTTCCTTTCACAAGTTGGAGGCTTATCTGGGTGTGGTCTTGCCCTGAAGGTACTCTTTCCATTGTTTCAGTGCAAATCTCTAGGCCTTTCCTTAAAGGTTTTAGTCTCCTTATCAAAGAAAGCTTCTCCTTCACACATGCAATGGCTCTAATATTAATCTTCCTGGCATTGTTCTTTTCAATCCAAACTGTGCATTCTACATTTCTTTCTGCCTCACCTGCTCTTTTTCCTTGTGTATTTCCATAATCATGATTAAGAAACACACCACTGATTCTATGTTAGGCTGTTTTGAAATTTCCCCTGCCAAAGAAATTAGTCCATTGCTTTTCAACTTTGCCTCAGGCAAGCTCTTAGACTGGGGGTGTACATCTACCAGATGTTTTGCTGAAATATCCCAGTTACTGCTTAAGCCCTTATTTCCCTCTGGAACTATTTTGCTCACAGCACTGCTTTCTTCCAGGCTTCTACTAGAACAGCCTATTAAGCTCTGCTTATACCAGTCAACCACTTTTTCCAGTCCAGACTTGAAAGTCTTCCATGAAATCCATGTGGTCAGGTTTTTTACAGCCCACTCTCTGTTACTAACTTTTTTATTAGTTACTTTTCTGTTGTGATATTCCATGACCAAAGGAACTTATAAAAGGAACAGTTTATTTGTCCCTACAGTTCCAGGGGGTTGGAACCCATAATGCAGGGAAGGCATGACAGCAGAGGTGACTAGAGCAGAAAACCAAGGGATCACATCTTCAAGCAGGCACAGATAGAGAGAAACTGGGAAATCTGGCAAGGTTTAAGAGCTCTCAAAGCCCACCTCTAGTGACATGTTGCCTTGAGCATGGCCACAACTTCTAAAACCTCCCCAAACAGTGCCACCAACTGGGGACAAAGTGTCCAAATACTTGGAGCCAATGCAGAACATTGTCATTGAAACCATCATGCCGTATGTCACTCCATATCAAGGGTTAGCTGTCAAAGCTTTATGGAAATCTAGAAATATGACTGAAGGGAGAGGGCAGAGTTACTCTTTTAGTAATCACAACAGTGTAGTCAGTCAACTTTAGTCTGATGAAAGTATTAATGTTTTGTTTGTTTGTTTGTTTTGACTTGGTGTGGTATTCCATACCTTTAATCCTAGAGCTCAGAGATGGAGGCAAGTGGGTCTTTGAGTTCAAGGCTAGCATGGTTCACATAGTGAGTTCCAGGATACCCAGGAAGACATAGTGGGACCCTTTTTTTTTTTTTTTTTTTTTTTTTTTTTAAAGTTTGCTATATGTGTGTATATGATATGCCTGTGCGGGTGTTCATGTCATAGCACATACAGAGATCAGAAGCCAACTTTGTAGTATCAGTTCTTTCCTCTTGCTGTGGGCTCCAGGGGTTGAATTCAGTCTTTTGCTTTTGCCTGCTGAACCATGTCTTAGGCTTCTGTTGTTATTTTTATTCTTTTTTGTGTGTGGAGACAGTCTGGCCTCCAACTCAACAGAGTTCTGCTTGCCTCTGCCTCCCATGTGCTGGGATTAGAGGAGTTGTGCCACCACACCCATCGCCTATTTTTATTCTTAATCATAACTTCCTTGGAATGTGATCCTGGTAATGTGGTTTGAGGACCCATTCCCTTCAGCTAGATATAGTAATTTTTTTTTAAGTACATTTGATAATTTCTGACTTAGTAGATCTTCTCAAATTAATCAGGACATAATTTATTGCATGATTATTTTTGAGGGTATGGGATACATGTTTTCAAATTTCTCTCATGGCGAGGGGATCAGATCCCTTGGAACTGGAGTTATGGATAGTTGTTAGCCACCATGCAGGTCCTGAGAACTGAACCTGAATCCTCTACAAGAGCGGCCCAACCAGCGCTTTTAGCTGTTGAGCCATCTCTCCAGCTTCCTACCCCCCAAAATATTACTTTTAAAAAGAGGCTGACCTGAGACTCCGAAGTCCAAGCATCACCACTAGACCACTAGACTAGTAACTTCTTTGTGCTTTTCAATCCTGGATAGCAACACTTTTCTAATGAGCAGGATTCAAGAAATCAAGGACCAATAGAACATTTCTCATTTCTAACCAAGAGAGAAATTTGAAAACATGTACATATCGTCCCAGAGGTGTCCAGTTCCAGGGAATCCAATGCCCTCTTCTGGCCTCTATAAGCATTGTATGCACATAGAACACTTACATACATGCAGGCAAAGCACTCATACACATAAAATACAAATAAATAATAAAATCTTTTTAAAAGAATTTTATTTAACAATTTCATTCTTGTGTACATTGCGTCTTGATTGTACACACTCCCCACTAACCTCTCCTACTGCCCCAGAAACGTCCCCCATGTCCTCCCACTTCTATGTCCTCTTTTTCATATAACCCATTGAGTCTGATTACTTAGGTCAGCTGCTTCTTACTCACTGGACTTTGGAGAAATTTATTTAGGCAGCCACAGAATCTTCAAGAGGCAGGATGATATTGTCACAATGTCAACAATTCATTGTTCACTGTATCTGTAACCTGGGAAATTCCTTAAAAGAAGGATCCATTTCCCAGACCTTGGATCCTTGCCTTATTTGCCATGTTTCTCATAAGACTGTGAATAGGGAAATGTTTTAGTTTGGTACCTATACTGGAAAAGTCTTTGAATATATTCACTTTTTCTTTCAGATCCCTGCCTTCTCTGGGAGAACAAGGCTACAGTAGGCTACTAGAGGATAAAATGTGGTAAGGAGGAGAGTCAGGATGCTCCAGTTTACAGTCAGCTCACCCTTTGAAGTTCATTTACCTTACCAACCATCAGGTAAGTACACATACCAAAAAGAACCCAGCTAATCTGAGCCTAAATTATTGACTATCCCAGTCATCCAGTATTTAATAAATT